ATGAAAATGCAAAGGTGATATGTCGTATGCCACATTAAATGGAGCTTTTTCTACTTTACCTATTTGTAGAATTATTGTATGCAAACTTAGCTTGTGGTAACACCAAGTCCCATACTTTCAAATTCTCTCAAATCAAGCTTTTTAGCATATTACCAACACTCAGTTTGACCATCAGTTTGTGGGTGAGATGCACTAATAAATTGCAGTTTAGTTCGCATTATCCCCCCACAAAGTTTTCAAAAGTGGCTTAGGAACCTGGTTTCGAGGTCAGATATAACGGTCTTAGGAAGATCATGCAAGTGCACCGCTTATTTGAAGGAGATATTGTCTATCATAGTGGCATCAGTGATCAGCTACATGGTATGAAATGTGCCATTTTTTAAAACCTACCAATCACCTACCATAATCAAATCATGACCTCTTGTTGTCTTTGGCAAACCTATTATAAAATCCATTGATAAATCAACTCGTGCCCTATTTGGAATCGATAATAGAGTCCATAATCCTTTATTTTGAGAATACTCATTTGCCTCCTGACATTTCATACACCGGTTAACAAATCTATACAGATCACGCCTCAAAGAAGACCAAAAATACCTAGCTCTCTCCAGTGGGCCACGAAAAAAAAGAAGGAGGAAATTAAATAAAAACTCTAATTAACGACTGAGAAAGAAACTTCAAATAAACAAAACAAAAACCCTAATTGAAGACTGAAAACATCTTTGAAATTTAGCTTAGAGGGACATATTTGGGTTACCTCTTGCCTATTTGGTGAAGAGAGAGAGGGGAGCTCCACTGGAGGATCGCTAAAAGAGATAAGGGAGAGCGAGAGGGGGGAAGATGGTGTGGGGAGAGAGAAAGCATGGTTCTCACAGTGGAGAGAGGGAGACTGGGGCTTGGATGTGATAACAATTGGGTTTATGTGGCATTTAAAACCCTTACGAGTCCTTGTAAAATGAAATGATATAGTGGAACATAAACTCAGTGGGAGTGTGGTCCCTCGTGGACCATACTAAGCTAACGATGTTTGCTGATACCAGACTGTGCTTGACGATCTCAGTCAATCGGTTGGGAAAAACCCATGTTACCTGGGCATAAAGAACAAATCGAAAAATGTTCTATTGGGTTAGCCCTTGATGAGGTCGGAGAATATGCCTAAATGAGTGAGCTGAAGGACTGGGTGACCCTTGTGTGTGATGGTGGCCTACAGAGACGAGGGTTTAAGCTTCATCCTCGTGTCATAACACGGCATGCATATTGATAGATCATTCGGGATAGTCAGAGATCAACCTTTTAAGATGAAGTGTATGTATGTGCGAGAGATACCCTTATGCATCATTGAGTTGTGGTCGCATCAGGTATTGGTGTACAGGTTCTCTAGGCGAGGACCTGTAATCCACATACTGAGATTGCGACGCCTTGGCTCATCGGTCAGACTTTGGTGACCCACTAATGAGCCCATGCTTGGACTGCGGGTCGTGGGAAACACTGAGTTGGTCTGATTAAGCAAGTATGGTCCGTAGTCCACAGTTGAAGGTGACGTGCCCCATGATTGTTGATTCAATTCCTAAAACATATGGATCATTTTCCCATCAAATTGATTTAATTATGTTTGTTTTATGATAATAATTATTTTATAATTATTATTTGATTTTTTTTATTAACTACTGGATATTCTATTTATAATTTTTTTATTTATAAAATTAAAGATATTAATTTTACAATAATATAAATATTTAAATAAATATTATAAATTATTTTATTAATTTTAATGCATAAAAATATCATGGGGGCCCATTGTGCACATGAGCCCACCATGTTTCTAGAAGGTAGGCCCAAATGCGCCTCCCATGGGTGGCAAGCCCCACCCCTTGGATTCCTTTTATTAAATTTTTGTAATGTTGAATTGTCAGATGTGGGCAAATATGACTTGGACCATTTATTGACTTAATATGGAAGTAAATATTGACTTAATATATATTTGATAGATCTTATGAAAAATATGAGTAGAGATGTTAATGGCCCATCTATGGAATAGATGACTCATATCTCTCACCCCACAAATCACCCTGATCAATAGTTCACATTCAATCTCATAAGCAGATGTAAATTATGGGAAACCCTAATCTCAAATTTTTTCTATAAATAGGGGTGTTCCCCCTATTATCTACACACAACCTCTCTCTTCTCCCCAACATCTCTCTCTCCTCTTTCTCTAAGGGGGCATACCCGACTCTCTCTCCTCTCTCCCTCCCTACACATTCTCTCTCCTACCCATTGAGGGAGCACGCCCCAACCCTAGGGTCTCCTCCCACTTTATCTCATCTTATATGCTAAGGGTTGGGAAATATGCCAAAAATATTTTGGGGGTAGGATCTAGGCTTGATGAGCTACAAAAAGGTTGTATGAAATAGTTAAGCCGAAATTTACTTTCCTGATTCGAGATTGAAGCTAGACCACTGATCTTGTATCATCGAATGATGGTAACTCGATGTGGGGTATAATAAGTCCGGCTGAGGTAATCTTCGACACTCTTCCCTTCTATTTATTGCAATCTTAACTTTTATTCTCAAGCATAGTGCATAGTTGTTTCAATGGCACCAAATTGTTAAGATCTTGGTTTTATTGTTATGTTGATTTTATTTTGAAGTTTATATTATTGTAATAAATATTATATGTAAGTGATATTTTGCCAAAACAAAAGGGGTGAAAAAAATAAAATAAAACTATTCCCCGATAAAAGATCACATAGATATTTATTTCAATAACCCTATATAATTGTCACCCAACCTCATGAGGTACGGAGTTATTTTCGTATGAAAAGAGTCATTTTGTGGTGAATATTTTTCACATAGAATAAATTTTCACATGTTTAAAAGTACGAACCAAACATTTGTAATCTCTATTTTCAAAATTTTAATGATTATTTTTATATGCACCAAGTGACAATCAATCCCCAGGTTGAGAATATTTTCATCTCCAAATTTTAGAATATTAAATATAAGAAAATTGGTACATGGGGGTTTGACCGCATTTCTACATATACGGTCTAGAAAGTGTAAAGCATCCATCTTAAACAAGTAGGTGTTCAATCTAAAAACAATAGGAACTAACGGTCTAAATGTTTCTTATTAGAATTATTATTTTTAGTTATTATTTTTTACTTTTATATTCATGATCTGTATGTTAGAGATTACATATCCTTAAAAACTAAATCTAAAAGTCTATCTAAAAAAATAGATTTATCAAGAGGCCCACATTTCTACATATGCAGCCTTGGCCGCATAGAAACCGTGTCCTTAAAGATATTCCAAAATTTTGGTTTATCGGAGACTACAAAGACAATACATATGCTCATATAGGACTTCTTGCACTATGAGTAAAGGAAAAAGTTTATATGAAGTATCAATTTTTATGCTGTATAAGTGAAGCTCGCCACAAAAATCCATTAAAAACGTTGTTTGGACGATAAAAAGTTGAGCAATTAATCATCTCAACCTCAAGATGTTGGATATGAAGACAAAAAGTGACTTCAAATGTTAAATATAATTCATCTTATAATGCATTATCTAAATTGTCTATTTCTAAAATTTTAAAAGCGTTATAAAGTTTGATCCCACAAGTGAATGCCAAACTCACCCATGAATATATACCTATGTCTAGGTATGGATAAAAAAATTGGACCTGGAGGGTCGGATTCGGGGCTGTGTCCATATGAACCCGATATGTTATTATTTAAATAAAATTTTATTATTATTTAAATAAAGATAATTATATATTTTTAATTATAATATTTTAATAGTACATATATATGTAATATAATATTTTATTTACATATATTTATTGTCGGCCGGGTTCGGTCTAGTCCAGATCCAGTCGAGTCTGGGCTCGATAACTTCGAGTCTAGTCGGGTCTAGGTCTCTGTCCGGTTCTCGAACCCGACCCGTTGCCACCCCTAGGACATATCACCCCTTTCGATGACTACATCCACAGGTGCAACAAGTGTCTCAAAAAAAAAATGAACGTGTTATCTCCCACAACACACAATCACACGTGCAACGTTTCCCTCTTGTTTAATAAAGTTGGGTCTTTATATTTGGGCCTTTATAATGGCTTCGAACAATACTTCACTTTGTGGGACCCACATATATACTTTTAAAGTAATGATTCTATAAAACTATTTGTTATTCTTGTGTATAGGACTCCAAAGGATTATCATTAAAATTGTTATTGTTCTCTTAAAAAGTTATCACATGGATGTGAGACTTGACTTTTTTATATATCCATGTCAAATTTAATAATGATCTTTTAAGTCCTATGAATGGGTGAGGGAGGGTCTTATAGGATATTTGTACCCAAAGGACCCTTACACTTCTACAAATATTTCGACAAGACCAGTTAGGAAGTACGAGGCCCATATGAATAAACAACCCATATTTTTACATGCATTATTATAGAGGCCAAAAGATGTTCTACTCCCTCGGGAGTAGAATGTTCATTAACTCCCTCGGGTAAAACCTCTAGAATTAAATTTGGGATTCCAAAATTTGGGAATATATCATCATTAACGCGTTTAGATTAATCTCAATAAAAGTTTCTTAATTGTGCCCTCTATGTATTTGAAAAAAATAATGTCTCAAGGATTGAATGTTTAATGCCTATCCGATTTTTAGATAATGAGATCTAAATGTAAAAAAACTCAATTTTTTAAATTATCCCTTTGAGAAAAATCTTTTAGTAATGTGTAAGGGATTCCCAAAAATTTCGGATGGAATGAATGTGACCAAGGGAGTAGAAGTAAACTATGCTCCTGAGGGAGCGTAGTATATGCACACATTATAGAGATGTCAACCTTATGAAGCCACTGCTAGGATCTGGTCCGCGCATTGAGCAAGCCATTTTTCTCACAACGTGATGAAGAGGTACCTAAGTGAAATAATTGGTACATGTAACTACTTGTACAATAGAAACCTTATTGCATTTACTTTATCTATAGAAAACCTTATTGCATTTTCTTCGTGGCTTGAGCATCTCGGCGCTGTCTTCTTTGACACGGTGTCTGGACCATTTTAATGATTTTAATATATTTTTAGTTGTTTATTCCAGTGTTGTCTCACATAAATTCCCTTATTTATTTAATTTCCTCCCTCTCTTTTCCTGAATATTTATTGTGTTTTGGAAAATCAAAAGCTTTAAACCCTAAAAATTCAGTCCATTTCTTCCTAGCCATCGTAAAATGGAGTGATTCTCTCTTTAACTTCATTCTCTCTCTAACTTCGTTCGCTCTCTCTCTAACTGTGATCGCGTTGCAGCAGAGGATCAACAATGACGGATCAAGAGATCAATGGCGATGAATTTTGTAGAAGGGCTGAGAAGAAGCTCACTGGATGGGGTTTATTTGGCAACAAATACGAAGACGCTGCTGATTTATACGAGAAAGCTGTGAATTCCTACAAGATCGCCAAAGCATGTAATAATCCTCGTCTCGTCGGTGTTTTATTCATTTTGTCAGTTTCCATTTCTGATTACTTGGATTCATTTTGCAATTCCAGAGTCGTGATTAAATATTGTTTTTATCTGATTGATTCGGCTTTCCCTTTGAGTTTATTCTGTGATTTTAGGGTTTCATGGAGTTTCGTTGTATCTCCTGGTTTTATTTATGTACTTTTCATGGAAATTATTGGACAAATATCATTTCTGTAATTTCGTGTATGTGTTTTAGTTATCATATTTTAGTTGTCTAGGCATCATTTAATCGTGCTATAAACAAATAACTGATTTTCATTCTCCCTGTTTTTTTCTATTGCATTCGAATTTACATTAATATGCTTTTTCTACGGACCAAGTGAAATTTTATAGAGTCCATTTACTCTGTATTTGTGGTCTTGAAACGTGTATATTTGATGTTTATATGAATATATATATCCCCATGTTCAGGGATTGCGTATACTTATGTGTATGTATTATTTTAGGAAATTTCTTGACCTTCATGTGTCAGATTTGGTCCAATGGGTTGGATGGATCCTTTACTTTTGAGAATTTTTTCGATAAGTTTGCATAAAAATAAAGTTCCTTTCTTTTATTTCGCACGGGCACTGTCTATATATTTTAATTGGATATAGCATGAGATTCTTCTACTTGGTTACTACCGCATGTGTTGCTTAGTTAACACCAAAAATTCTAGCATGTCTCTATTTAGAAGGTTATGATCAGACCTAGATTTCATCTGTTTACATGATGTTATGGAGAAAACCCACAATGTCATTCTCACTAACTCCGACCACATGGTATTTTTTCAGGGGAGAAAGCTGGATCAACCTATGAGAAGTTGGCTAGCTGTCATAAGAAGGTTCATACTTTCCTTTCCTTTATAATAATCATAATCCCTTTTTCTGTTACTTGTATGTTTTTCCTCACTGAGTATGTAACTTCCAATTTCTTGACTCCAGTTAGAAAGCAGGCATGAGGAAGCTTCAGCATACGCAGATGCTGCAAATTGTTACAAGAAAATCAATCCCCGAGGTTTTAGCCATTTGATTTGCTACTTCTTTGGACTTTCTGCTTCTATACAAGCTAAAGATCACTTGGATGCTTCATACTTCTTATGAATTTTCTGTGTTAATTTTTACTTGGCATTTGTGCTTTGCAGAAGCTATTCGATGCTTGAATGAATCACTTGAAATCTTCATGGGGATAGGAAGGTTAAATTTGGCTGCTAAGCATGGCAAGGTAAAACCTATCTATTCATATGAATTGCTTCTCTTTCAGATTGACATTTGTCTATTAGTAATGTGATCATATTTGTGATGGATAGATTCCTTGTTTGTCTTACCAAATCAAGAATTTTTTTTTTTATTTGATTTCACCTTTCAGGTGTTCCTTTTTCCAGGGGCACTAAATGAACATGCAGAACTTTATATACTTTAGGATGTTATTTTTGGTTTGCACCCAGTAACTGTAAATCTATTACTGTTTGTCTCTACAGCAGTTTTACTCAATGTAAGGACATATGTACCTTATTAAAGCACTAAGTATAGGCTAAATGTTGTTGAATATGCCCATCTTCTTTTGCAGGATATTGCTGAGTTATATGAGGCTGAAGAAGATCTTAATGAGGCAATCAGATTCTATGAACGCTCAGCTGAACTGTATGAAACTGAGGGAGCTACATCCACTGCAAACCAGATGGCACAGAAAGTGGCTCAAATTGCAGCCCAGTTAGAACAGTAAGTCTCTGTTTGTCCAAATGCTCCTTTATTTGTTAATCTGTATAGTATATCTGGTGTACAAGTTCCTAATTCAAGTATTACTTGAAATGAGCTCCCAAGGCATCTTCCTTCTGTGCCTGGCTCTAGTATCATATATAATATTTCTTTCTGTCAGTACTGGAGTTCATTGGCAACCGATGCCATCGTAATCGGTTTAAGCTTGTAGCTAGGTTTGAAACCGTATAGGACTTTTGGTTTTGGTTATTTTAATTTTTCATAAAAATGTTTTTAGGTGTTACAAAAGTTACCAAAAGAAAAGAAAATGAAGAAAAGCTGTTACCACAGTTTACCAGCGTAGAACAGGGGAATAGTTTAGATATAGGTCTGGGTTAAGCCTTTGTCTGAAGTTCTCCTTCAATCAGTTAAGTGGAATTGGCTGCTAATTAGCAGCGGCCCCTTGCAAAATGTTCTTCCGTTGGGAATAGGAATGCAGCACACTTATTTTGAGATGAACTACCTGCTTATTTTGGCATTCACCTTCATATTAGAAGGGAACTAATGACTGCTCTGAAGAACAAGGAGAAAATAAGTATTGAAGGGAGGTGCATAAGTTCAGATATGGGTCGTTTATTATTATAAGGGAGGTGCATAAGTGGAGATATGTGTCATATGTTAAAGCTAAGGATAAAGTTGGATAAAACTTGCGAGGAAAGGAAGGCAGGTTCGCTAGTGGCAGGAATAAGATGCAAACTGGGAGCAAAATAGTGATAATTACAAAGGAAGTAAACATCATTAAAATGGTCAACCACCCAAAAAATTCACTGAGGTGGTGAAATTAACCAATTTATCAACAATGCTTACTTTGAAAAGATCATTGGATTCAAGTACATCCCCAATTATACTATAGAAAAATACGCAAAATACCCTTGTTTTGGTTTGGAATCTGAACAAGCATGGTTGTTTGGTAATTTACCACCATGTAAGGGGCCAAGCCAAATGATATAAATGCTCCTACTTGTTCCAAGTTCCAAACCACTTCGTTTCATTAAAAACTCTTGTCTGGGATTGGAACTAAGGTCAAGAAAGTTTATTACATCATTTGGTTTGATTCAAATTGGCTTTAAACCAAATGATGAAACCACATTTACCGGGATATTCCGACCAAGGGGTGGATTTCAATCCTGAATCTAGCTCTTGTGCTCTATGGAAGGGAATCTTGTTCCTCTGTGATTTTTATACTTTCTCAATCTTGAGAGGAGATCATTTCTTAGCACAGTAGTGTAGTACAACAGTGTGATAGTAACTATAATATAATAGTATAATATAGTGTAGCAAGTTGCAAAAAAAAAGAAAGTGTAGCAGTGTTGTATAGTAGTGTATATAATATAATATAATTACATATAGTAAATTTAAAATAGGAAAAGTCTTCGCAATGCCCATAAGCGAATCAGAATGATCTGAAATTTGTCCGGTGGTATTTTATTTTTCATTTTCTTCTACAAATCAGAATGATCTGAAATTTGGAGCGTGTGTACATCTCAGTAAAGTGCGCCTTATAAAAATATAAAAAAAATAATTCGTGACAAATAAATTGACCAAAATACCCCTAAAACTTTTAGGGGGTATTTTGGTCAATGTTTTTCATGTAAAATGTTTTTTTTGATATTTTTCATAGATTTGTCTATTTTTTGTGAACACACGCTTCAAATTTCAGGTCATTCCGATTTATAGAAAAAAATGACAAATATAACACTATCGGACAATTGTGACCGTGCGATGAACTTCGGACGGTGATGAGGGTAGGCAAAATCACTGTTCATTTTCGCCTATAGGAGTTGGGAAGACTTTTCTTTTAAAATATAGTACAGTAGAACACAATATATAGCATTGCAGTATAGTATAACAAGTAGTATTCTATAGCAGTGTGATATAGTGATTGATATATACTATGCTAGCTAGTGCTCTAGTGGGTTTCAATTTTTTAACCAGACGGAGCTCAATCTTGTAACTTTATCATTCGATGCCAATTAAATTTGTATCATGCTTTCCTACATATTGGGATCAAGCTCTCTAGATTTCAGGGTGTACGAATCGCGATCTCTAACATAGGGAACTTCTTGCTTGTCACGATCACGTGGTCCAGATCCCATTTACAGATCTGATTTGATCCTGATCTCCGTATGGATGAAATTATCTATGCGTTTTTTTTTGAGCTTCACAACTAGAACATGTTTTACTTCATTAAAATCTCTTAATCCTGGTTTGGAAGCCATAACACAGGGGGTATTTTAGTAATTTGGCTCGACTAGTATTATGGGCTATATTATCAAACTACAGCTTGTTCAGGATTCAAAACCTAGAACAAGGACATTTTGGGCATCTTTCAAATAAATGCTTGAGGAGTTACAATAGTGAAATGATTTTATTAAAGTGTCCACTTTGTTGACAAATTGGTTGATTGGAGGTGGTTTGACTGTTTTAACGATATTTTCCTAAAAACTATGGAATCGGGAATGAATTATGCTAGAATAGTCATAGGAAATAAAGGGCTTAACCTGATACAAAGCTTTTCTTTTACGGGTTCTGCTGTACTGGAAATAAAGGCTTAGGACTCAGACTCGCTTGAGTCACTAGGAACAGTTGACTTGGATGATATGAGTCTGAGGGAGTCTTGTCTGAGTCTGTCTGGGACCTTATCCAATTAGAATCAGGACCTAGCGAGTTAACTCGAACCCTCTCCTTGCCAGTTTCCTTGTTTTTGGACACAGCTGTTTTTAGACATGCGTTGCAGCTGTTTGCAGAATAGTGTAAGAAAAAAAGGAATTTTCAAAGGTAATATTACGCAGCAGATGATCCTACATTGGTTTTTGTTGATCAGAAGCATCAAACTGACTTTTTAGATGAGCAATCCAGGCATTGGTTTAACACTTTTACGTATTAAAAAAAAAGAAACTACAGGCATTGGTTTTTTGACAACTGCACAGTTTTCTCCTGTTTTATTTGAGGCATGACCATCAAACTGGCTGTTTCGGGATGTCCAAAGGAACATTCTGGTTATTTATGTGCTTTTGGGAATAGTACTTGTGGTCATTGTTGCGGATATTTCAGTTAGCCATGAAGTGTGCTCTACAATTTAGGAAGGATGCATTCTAGAGGAAACCACATATGATTTGCACTTGTTTGATTCGAGTTGTAATCTATCAAAGTTTGTCATTTGTATTTTCTGATTAGTGCAGCATTTTTCTAGTTGGGAAAAGGCTCTCTGAGGATGATGACATTTTCTAGTTTGAGCAGCTTTGAGTCTTGTCATTCTCTCATTTTCATCTACTTTATTCTCGTTCTATTAATATTTGACAGTCACTTAACATTATCACTTTTAACTCAACTTTTAAACTCGGGTGTGGTTTGTATAAGGCTGAGGCCGTAAACAATCAAAGTAAGGCGCACCTTCAAATAGTGTCGAAAGATGTTGTTTCAGTACTGGAAATCTTTGGGATGGCTTGAAAATCTATTTTCATCTCTAATTATAAAATTTAAAGCTTTAAAAATAGTGTAAATGGAGTAGATCTATAAACCCTTGAAAATATTGAAAATTTACAGTCCAAAAAATGCATTACAAGATGCACTATTTTAAGACTTAAAATCCATTTTTTCTCATGTACATACATCTTGAGGTCAAGATGATCGATTTGAGAATTTGTAGACATAGAAATAACCTCTTCTAGTGAATTTTTGATGTGCACCTTAATTTGATTGTTTGGGGCGTCACCCTTATATAAACTTTTTCCTTTAAACTCTAAGTTTGTCATTTATTTTTTCTGATTAGTGCAGCATATTGGGTCCATTATTTCTTCTTGGGTACATTTTCTAGTTTGAGCAGCTTTAAGCCTTGTCATTCGCACATTTTCATTCACTTTATTAATGTTCTATCGATATTTGACAGCCATTTAATATTATCACCTTTTAACATTTTTTCAATATTTAACAAGTGAATATGCTCTTGCTTTGCAGATACCCGAAAGCCATTGAAGAGTTTGAAAAAGTTGCAAAGCTGTCTATCAACAACAATCTTTTGAAGTATAGCGTTAAAGGGATTCTTCTTAATGCTGGCCTTTGCCAAATATGCAAAGGTGACATTGTTGGGATAACCAACGCATTAGAGCGATACCAGGTCAATCATTCTTTTCTCTGACAGTTTCTGGATTGATCTTCCGACTTCTGAGATTTGGATTGCTGTCGCTGTGTAATAATTGCTGAACTTGGTGTTCCCGAATGCATATGCAGGAACTTGATCCTACCTTTTCAGGCACGCGTGAATACAAGTTTCTCGCTGTAAGTTTTCACTCCTAAACTTTGTTGATGGCCATCTATTTTCGTTCTCTTGTTATTTGCTATAGCTGTTATGAAAGTTGTGAAGTCTCCGTTGCTTTTATGTTCTAGCATTCAGCTATTAGGATGGGGATTTTTTTTTTTCAGTTGCAATACCCATTTTTAAGCTTTTGCCTTCTTGTTTTTCAGGAGTGTTCATGTAGTTTAAGGAATTATGGGCTATACAATACATGATACGATTCAAGCTTAGTGGTTAATTTCTTAAAAGTTGTTTTTAATCTGAAGGGCATTTGGATGCGCTTTAGATTACAACATTTTTATTTTTTTTAAAACATAAACTGGATAATAGCATCTCTAGGGCTTTAATATGACCTTTAATGTTCATTTGGCAGGATTTAGCCTCTGCAATTGATGAAGAAGATGTCGAGAAGTTCACTGAGGTGGTGAAGGAGTATGATAGCATGACCAGGCTGGTATATGGCTTATTCATGCCAAATTAATTGATTGTGACTTCTTAGACAAACTTAATAGGAAAATAACTTCTTAAACTTTCTATGAGATTTCCTGCATGATGGTTTCTAGTATAAGAGATTTCCATTCAAATTAATGATAATCATATAACTTTTGTCTAAATTAAGGTACAAAATGATGCACTCTGTGGTATTTGTGATATTTATGTTGATTCCTTTTCTGGAGTTTGCTTTGCATAATGCTGTATGAGTAAAGATTCTGAAAGGCTGAAAGTGAAACAATTCATGAATTTACAACTTACTAGTACAGCTGCCAGTTTAATTATGAGGGTAGGAATCGTAAGACATTTTAAGACGAGGGTGGTATTGATGCACTGTGTAATAGTTGTGATGTTTTATGTTGATTTGTTTTCTGGAGTTTGATTCACGCATGCTGTATGAGTAAAGATCCTGAAAGGTTCAAAGTGAAACAATTCATGGATTTACAACTTACATAGTACAGCTGTGAGTTTAATTATTAGGAGAAAATTCTTAGACATTTTAAGAAGAGAGTGTTATTGAAGAGAGATCACTTTGCTCTCTATCACAGCCTGACCGAACCAGCAGGTCCAATTGGTCAGACCACCAACCAAAGCCCAAACAGGTTTCGTCTCCTGAAAAGCAGGATCTTGGAAAGACATGTAATTTTGAGAATTTTGAATATATTTAGGGTTTTGACTGGTTTTTCATGAGTCCAACTTGTTCTGATGACAGGTTGAACCATTGTTTGAATTGGACTAGACTTTTTCCAGTTCACCGTCTGCTTCGGTTGTGAGAGCACTTGATATTCTCATTCCAATGAAATGCTAGGAATTGCTCAGAAATCACAGGAGATGCCTTGTCTAGTCAATTAGTTCCCTCTGTGGTGCCAAAATCATTCTAGGATAGGAGTTGAACTTCTGTTGTCCATGGCCAAATTTACACCTATTAGAACTTACACTCCCAAAATATAGTTGCACACCCTTCAATACATAGTTTGAAACCACCCCCTCCCTTTTCTCCTTTTGTGTGTGTGGACCATGGGTCCAAGCTTTGGACTTTCCATAGATGATTTGCTTGTGGCTTGGGAGAAGAATTTAGCCTCACAAGATTCTTCTATGATGGTGGATGGTCTCATGGCATTCTGGAGAGGTCACGTTTCAGGGATGATTGATGTGTGGACACTTGCTGTTGCTGGTTTCTTATGGTTTCTTATGTGTCGAGTCTCAATGGTGGTTCGACTTTCAGGCTAGTGCATTTTTTGTGGCTAGGGATGCCTGTGTTGGGAAGATATAGCTTATGTTAGATTGGAGAAGCTCAGACCAAAATGTGTGTTTCTGCCTATTCTCGATCTTCCACATGCTGATAGTTGCTCCCAATTTCTATGCTGTTAGTTTGGTTACTTACTGAGAAAGAGGTCTGTGAAGGAGCTTGGATCATTGTCGTGGTTAGGGAAAGAGGTGAGGAAAATTTCCAGTTACAACAAAGTAGATAAATCTATCAAGGATCTGCTACTCAATTATGCCTCATATAAAATGTTCGTAGAATCTTCTTTTGAGCCTTGACTGTGTTTTCATCAACTGATGATGATCAACAAATAATACAAATAGGAAACATTAAATTTAGTGCCGCAAACTACTAAGCATGGTATGCATTCAAAGAATATGGTAAGATGTGGATACTCATAAGTTCGTTTAGGAGTCAATTGACTCTCATGGACTCTATACACTGCGACAATTTCCTTAAAATGTGTGAGTGAGATTATTAGAAACACTAGCATCACACAAAATAAGGTGCTCAAACCTCTTATCCACCAAAAACTCCCAAGGATAAATCTCGAGTGAGATTATCACCAGCAAAGTAGATAAATCTCTCAACGATCTACTGCTCTTTGTACCATGTATAAAATGTTCATAGCATCTTCTTTTGAGCCTTGACCATGTTTCATTAACCAATGGTGATCCACATATACAAGAATAGGAGACATTAGAGAGTGTGTCGCAAACTATTAAGCCTGGTATGGACTCCAAGAATGTGGAAGGTTTGGATACCCCATAGGTTTGAGGATATGCTTGAGCCTCATGGACTCTATGCATGTGGCAGCTTTCCAAAAGATAGTAAGATTATCAGAAACACTAGCCTCACACAGGACTAGGTGCTCAAACCTCTTTTCCACCAAAAACTTTTGTGAATGAGACCCCCTTCTAACAGGCATGCGTACTCACACATACTAGTAAGAGGTGATGCAAACAGTTGCCTGAGAATCCTTAAACCATGAGAAACTACCAAAGCCTCAGCCTTTCTCGTCCATGGTAATGTATGAAATAACTTTTGATTTACATTGAGGCTCTCACAAATTTTTGGCCATTGTTTAAAGCCAGATAGAAGGTTGGGATAGACACTGCCCATTATATGCTCATGGTGGACTAAGATGCCACTATAATGGTTATTACATTATACCTTGGGCTTGGTTCATATGGGTGACCTCTTCCACAGGTCCACCATTCTTCATGGAAAATTGGACTCCTGTCGGGCCTAAGCATCGACAATAAATGAATCTTTTCTCATGGAAGTGGACCAGAGAAAGAGGCAAGCAGCCTCTCAGCTTAATTAAGAGAGTTGTTGTCGATATGCATTAATTATTTTCATAGTGCTTATTAACGAGGTTAAGAACCATGCACACTTGTGTGCTGATCCACATCAAAACCATGCAAGTGTGTCCATGTTTTACATGGCAACCAAGCATTCTCCAAGAACACCCACTTCTGTTGTCTATTGGTCAAAGATGCTCCAAGTAACTGTCAAAATTATGCTTCATCTCCCATGTACACGCTTGGCTTTTGAATCTCTTTGTTTACTACCACCCTACATTCTTCAACAAATCCAGAGCAAGCGACATATATCCTCAAAATTTTTGAGACCAATGAAATAGAAGCATCCAAAGTTCCCATCCAGATCTAGTGTCATACATGATAATAAATAATTAAACTTGATCATCAATTAATATGTGTGATATATTCTCAATGAGGTTTTTTTTTCAATCAAATGTGGGGATTAGGGAAGTTCTCCCCTTCATTAGTAGCCTATTAGAAAATGTTTGGTTGACCTTCTTTGGATTGAAGTAGTTTCATGAAATTAGACAGGAGATATTCCAAATTTAACTCGGATCATCTGCATGAGAGAGGAATTTTGGTTCAGGGCTCTGATACAATCTTACTTGGGTTAAGCATCAGGTATTTAGGGAGTTGGTTCGGGTTATTCTCTTTGGTTGATGTAGAGCCATGTGTAATACTTTTGAATGGAATTGTCACACTAAAAAAAAACAAAAGAATTCAGAATGGAATTGCAATCATCAAAGAAAGGACAGAATGACTGAAGTATATGGGAATTTTGGGGCATGTAGATAGATGAAGATCCATTTGAGGGAGGAGAGAGAAGAATGACAACAAATGTAGTTATCATTGTGTGTGTATGAGAGAGAGAGAGAGAGGGAAATCTTTCACGTGAATTATTTTCTACAGTTTGTGGGCACAGATTGTGAGGGAGCACTATGGCTTGCTGTATATGTGCATGTGTGAGCTCGTGTACTTGTTTGCTTCAAATCCTATAAACATTTTCTTTAACTGGCTTTTGTATTTCCATGTGCTATTTCCTGAAGTCAATAGTATATCTGTACTCTTTTTCATACGAACCAGAGTTTGATGACATTGGATTTAGCTTTTCTTCGTAAGCTTCTTATATTTTCTGTTCTTTCCACGTCTTTATCTGTTATTGCTCTGTAGGATGCTTGGAAGACATCGCTTTTGTTGAGAGCGAAGAACGCTCTGAAAGCGAAGGAAGTGGAAGAAGATGATCTTACTTGAGACTCTCTCTCTCTTCCCCTCTCTCTCTCTGTCTCACATGTATTATCAATGCATATTTGTTATATTGGAGCTTTCAGTCATGTTTTATGATGTCAAATTGGAATGGTGTGCGTTGAGAGCAAAGCACTTTTTCGCTTTGCGGTTGGTGTGCTTGGAGTGTGCAATGATGTTTCTAAATTCTTGAGTGAAACATGTGCGTAGATAAATAATTTGTGGTGCTAATCTTTTCCCCCTCTTAACATGTCTGGGTTCTTTTGAACCATTCACCAGATGATTGATGTTCATTCAGGCTTTGACTGTTACAATCCTCCAATTATGGTTATGAAATGTGGGGTTACTCAAATATTGAAATTTTCAATGTTATTATGTAATGCTTTAGCAGATCTGCTTTCGAATGAAATTGTGAAAGAAACTGAAGAAATCTCCATCCGCTACCCGATTTTATTGGAGCTGGATGCCCACATGAAATCTTAAGTCGACCCTAAGAGGTGCCTTGCCTTTGGTCTCATTGTGTGCACTAATGGGCCCCTAGCTCCAAGCAGGGGTATTTTATTGGGGCGCCTAGCTCTATGCAGGGGTATTTTATTGCGGCCCCTAGCTCTACGCATGGGTATTTTATTGGGGGCCCTAGCTCTACGCAGGGGTATTTTATTTTGTGGATGGTCACTAGCCTCCGTCTAGGGTTTTGTGTGTGAGAGGGAGGGAGGGAGGAAGCTAATGGCATGTTAGAGAGAGGGAGTAGGGTAATGGCATATTTGGTACCAAGATGTGGCCCATCAAGGAGACATTAATGGGCTAATGAGTTCTGAGCAGATATTTAATAAACACTTAGTCGGTACAGAATCGCCCTGTCGAATTGGGATGTCACTCCGTGTCGATTATGTCAATATATAAGAATTCGTTTGGATCTACAAGAGAACCGGCGATTGCTACAGTAAAACAGTGGTTTGTTATAGTAAAAATGCTATTTTGCTATAGTATAATGTCGATTTATCGATTTAGATAGGTTTTTAGTTGGTTCATTGTTTTTGCAAGTGTTTTTTCACCAATTCATTTTTCTTCTACATACAAAAATCGCAGTCTGAATTTATTGATTTGGGCCGGTTTTTGCGATGCCCAATTCAAGTCATCGACCAGTTTTTTTAAATCACTGGTTTTGAGTGTTACATGTCCAAGCATGGTGGCAGAGGCTGTTTCATATTTCTGTGAGGACACACATTTGGGTGCCAGTATAACTTGAAACGTATGTTCATGAATTGTTTTGCATGTAGATACACTAGAGATTACTGTTTTAAAATTCGGGATGCGGTCACGATGTTGTTGGGGGCCAATACGGTGATGCGGCCCAAATAAGGGCTTGATCATCCGAATGCAATTAATAAATATAATGTTCTTTAACATACATCAAAAAATAGGGATGATGTAATTAATTAAATATAATTTTTTTTAAAAGATATAAAAAAAATAAATTAATGCATGGAAAAAAAAATGGTGGTGATTATATGATATTAAACATTTAATTTATTCATTAAATTCAAAAGTATCAGATGTCGAAGATTTTGGTATCCATTATCCCATGATAGATCATAGAATAATTAGAAATTAGAAATTACATACTTGAAAATAAATTTGTAAAAGACAATAGAACTTAGAAGACATTATATTATTATAGTTTATAAACATTAAAAAATTATAACCACAAATTTACAATTGCAAAATAGTTAAGTAAAGATTTATGAAGAGTTCAACAATCAAGACAAATCATCATCATTTCTCAAGTCTCAATCTCACATCTCAATTAGACAAGTTATCTAGGGAGTCTCCATGTGCATATGTAGCATTTGAGTGTGAGGAATCATCATAATTAATATCATCCTTGGTGGCTTCTATATATTTTTTTTATGGGTTTCCTTTAAGTCTGCCTCCTCCTCGACCTCTCGAGCTGATATGCTATTGGACCTAGTTTTTTTCTTTTGTGTTCTAGTGTTAGGTCGTACTTTTTCATTAGCGACATCAACAAGGATCTCCCTCAAACACACGCTCTGCTCGTAGAACCATGGTCCACTTGCTTTTGCCTCACCATGAGGTTCATACAATCAAATTTAGTTAAAATCCTTGCGTTTTTGATACCTCTACCTGAGCCGCTTATTATATCGCACATAAACCAAATCATTCAACTTCTTCTGCTCCATCCTATTTCTTTTTTTTGTATGGAACTGTGGTAGAAAACAAAGAAACAAGCAGTAGGAGCACATGTTATTTTCTTGTTTCTACTTTATATTTATCTTAATTTTTAAAAATTAAGATTTTCAATCCAAGAAATAAAGATTAAGGTCTTACATGCTCAAATGCACTCCAATTATGTTCGCAATAAGATGAACTTCATGTGAGATTCAGCACTCGAATAGCAAGTCATCATAGATTTAGTGTCACGCTTCCATATAATGCCACTATGCAACTCGCTTTTACCTAATTTCATATAGATATGTAGTGTCATTGTTTCGAGTAACAATCTCTCTCCCAAATTCCTCAATGCTAACTCGAACTTGATCGATTCATGGCTTTAGATCTCATCTTGGATATCTCGGCCAGGAACCTAGCTCTCAAGCATATCTATACGATCAAACTCGATGAATGGGTGCTTGTGAAGAGATGGATTTAAAAAGTAACCGACTGTATGGTGGTACCTATGAAGCTGGTTATCCTATCTCCTATTAATGATTTTAAGTATAGCCTTGTATTTCTTTTCTCTCATGTATGTTGCCAATATCGGGCTTTGATCCACCATCAACTAATCGAAGACACTAAAGGGTGAGCCACATCCAATGTATGATATACCTGGTCCCAAAAAGATATATTGAAAATAATCCGCTTAGGATGCGTTGGCTACTTACTTTACTCAACTGTTCTAGAGCAAACATGGTCATTAAGGCATTTCTTTGCTTGCATAGGTTTCGAAGAATGAGAAATATTGTGGCGAATCCAGTGACACCCAGTCTCACTACAGCTCTCTTATTTATAAAACTTCTCATCATGCTAAGGATTATGGGGTAATTATAAATAAATCTAACAAACATAGCTTTCGAAATCACCCCAATAAATATAGATGTCATATTCATTTCCTTAAGTAAGAGATTAACACAATGAACTGCAAAAAGAGTTCAAAACATATGCCTCCTCTTCAAAGTAAAAATATGCCAAACTGCATCGTAATTGATACCATTATCAATAAAAATTTGTACCACATGTTGCTTTCCAACAAATTATACAATCTCATCCATCTAGTCACATAAGTATGTAGCATCATGTGTCTTATTTGATGCATCAATAGACTTAACAAAAAAAATACTGGTTGGACAATTAACGAAAAAAATTAATAAATGCTATTGATTTCCCATTAGATCATCCATCACACATAATAGTGACCTCATATTTCCCCCACCCTTCTTGTGAAACAAAATTTTATTAACATCAAACACAACATCCTTCAAAAGGGGCTCCCAACTCTCATGATATACAGAAGGATTAAGTCATGAACTAAATTGCTCAATTGCTTGGACCATCTTGGACTAAATTGCTCAATTGCTTGGACCATACATGCAAAACTATCGAGAGTTATGGTATTGCAAAGAATTCCGGTCATATAAAACCATTTTGCAATGTAGCTATATACTTTTCTTCATCTCTTCTTTATTGTATCGATTTTCAATTGTGGATTGTTTTGTTTTTTCTCTTCCTCTCCTAAACCACAATTTTGGAGCCAAAGGTGCAAAATATATCCATTGGCCTCATAAGGAGAGGTGTTTTTTTTTCCAACATTGTTACCAATATGTATAACCCTCCCTTGGAATACCACTTTGAGTTGTACCAATTTTTGACTAATCCTTATCAGCTTCATCAACAACAAATAATTGAAATTCATGTATACTTCATTAATTCATCTCATTTCATTTGCTTCTTTTCTTTTTGTTTCAAGTTATCCATGTATGCTCTAATCTCCTTTTTAATCTTTTTCGATAGCTTGTAGGCATATGTACCGACATTCTCATAAATACCGGCTAAATGTTCTTTTTGTTGGAAAATACTCCTCTATAATTATTTCTACAAAGAGTACAAACAACATAATTTCAGCCTTTCGAATTTTTGAGTTTTACAAATCTCCAAACTAGATCCTTATTACTAAAAGAGATTGTGAAACAAGCATTCCTCCAAAAAAAAAAAAAGGATTATTGTATTTGGAAATAAAAACATATTCATTAATTGAAGAAAATATCGGTATTTTCTAAATTTTCCCCCCTATAATGCACCACATATGTACCACGTGCCATGCAATTGCATATGCGATGGAATACGGTGCATATGCAAACACATCCTACCAAAGTGCATATACGTTGTTTTGTGATGTGCCTCCTGGTGCATACCACATTGATGCAGCCACATTTTGAAACAACGTGCATAAAGATGGAAAATTCAGTCCGACACCTTAAAAATCATGATATTTAACTTACTATTGTTGCAATTTTCTATTATAGTACTTAATAGCATCTAAAATTAACCTCCACCATTTTCCAAATGGTATATAGACATGCCGCATCTAAAAGGCTTTTTCCAATTCAAACCTATTTCAAACGTCCTACACCTGTCTATAAATACAGTCGAACAAAACAATTCTCTACAATCCTTCTTATACTGTTTGTAGTGTAAGATGCAAGACCATATGGCCACCAATATTTGGGGTTGGAATGTGAGATGGACAAACCAAGATGAAAAAAGTGAACGATCAAATTTACCTTTCTTTTTATCATTAATGATCGAATTTACCCTTTTCAAGGCATCGGAAAAATGCTGATATTATCAACTTTAATATCATATGGTGTAGAGATCAATCATCACGTTAGTTGGCCTATTTCAGGAAGCCCCCAAGCTTAACCGGTTTGTGCTTGATGAACTGCACTCAATCCCTACCCAGGGTAGGGGCCCTCTCCCCACTGACTCGTCTCCTCTCCAAATAGTAAACCACTTGAATTTTTTTCTTTGAATATAGTAGCATCATCATCATAGCCTTTTCTTCGAATACAGTATACAAAAACCAAATGAAACGATACAATGAACAAAATTCCTGAAGGTCCTTATTGAAGGCCAGAAAGTTGAATATGGATCTGCTTGTCTCTAGCTCCACATAAAGTCAGAGCCAAAAGGAATATTTTTAAGATATCCACAATCGTCATTCGGAATTGATAGCTTTAGCCGAAACAACTGAATTTTCTCACTCTAAGCTCCCAAACCAAAAATCCAGGGGAAGCATGAGCTATAAAGCATATTCAGGCAGTACAGTTCCTGATGCCTGGTCTCGACAATGCCAAATGCACATATATGAATCCTAAAAACCAACTGCATGGTAAGGCCCATCAAAAAAATGTTGAACGTGAGCTAGTGGAATTGATAAAGCCCACTAACAGAACATCAGAGAATGAAATACATCAGAAGATGAAGTCATAAATAATCACAAAGATGAGAGATCTGCCAATATGATGGTTTCGGGCAAATTCTAGGGAAGGATATATCTTTCAATTGGAAACAGGAATAAAAGGTAAAGCATACGTTTTTTAAGTGTCAAGCTTTTAAAGGACAGTCTGGTTTAAACATTAATACATTATATATAGGTATTATACACAATGAGTGCAGTTACTTAGTGCTTGGAAAGGTAAAACCACCCCAGGCCCTCAGATGTGAACATCTGGTTTTTGAGCAGAGAAACAGCACTCCCGACATGCCCATTTTCACATCTGGCAGTTTGGGGATCCATCCAAGAAATAAATGCACTCATTGTATACCTTTCAATGAGTATAGCTATATGATAGGCATTTGAATGTAAAACATACTTTTCCATATATATATATACATATATATGTATCTCCACACTTACAATGAGTGATAACCAAGTCGTTCAATGAACAAAAATTGTACCAAAAGCAATTTATTACCTGAGTTTAACGGCATTTGCTATATAAAAGGGACCAACCACCTCATTTCTGAACCATTTCCATTGGATAGGTAATATATTTTCTTCAATTTCTCCTCTGAAAAACTCTCCTTGCGAATGAGTTTTTGCCTGACATAGTACACGAGCACACTTGGGTCTAAGCTCCAAAAGAACAAATAATGGTTTCATAATCATGGTATTGATGCCAAAACGATGTAGCAAACCACTGAGGAATCGAAAATAATGTAATTGCTTGAAGCAAACAGGTATAGATACAAGAAAGTACATGAAGTACAATTCATATTTACCTGTGCACAAGAGATCGAAATATAAAACTTTTGGCATTCAGAGTGATGGGTATCAAATATAAACCAGGCAAATTTAGAGTGATGGGTATCAAATATTTGCACTTTTGAGTTGTTTGCCATGGTCAGATATTGATACCAGAAAATATAGTTGATGGAGGGCACAATCATTTTTATTTTTAATTTTTATTCAATTCCAAAGGATGTATATTATTCCAAGGTTTTTTAGTTTTTAGGGATTGTAGGATATTTATAATTTTTATTTGCTTCATGAGTACTATTCACAAGGTACAAAAACTATCCAAACAAATAATACATTGAACTGCACATCCTCACTTAAACCTAAGTAATATTATAAAGAGGAGCATGGGGGCCTAGGAGAAGGCAGTCACGTGATTTTCCAGAATTGAGTAAAATGAAAAGCTGCGGCTATTGCAACCCTAGCCTGGGTGTGGAGAAGAAATACTAAGTTTCTTTGAATTGTCTTTGTGTTTGGCTTTGTTTCTTGCTGATTTTACTGTTTTCTCAAATTAATCACAAACATACCTACGATAATATGAGCATACTGCAATAGCTTCATCCCAGCTGTAACGAGGAAACATAACACGTGCATCTTCTGGAACATCAGGCAGCTCTTGACGAAGCCTTCCAACAGCAGTTGAATGAGAAAAGGCACCCACCATCATGTCGTTATGCATCATAGAACGATAAGCATTCACCTACAAAAGAAAAACATTAAAAGGTTTCGTCTTAGTGAGTAAGTAAAACATTGGGAAGAATAAGAAACAGGAAACCAGGTGAGAATACAAATGAACAACAAAAGATAGCAAAGAAAAAGGAGGTTATTAACACTAAAAGCAATTGTAGATATCATAGCAAGTAATTAAAATGTAGACGAAGATCATTCTTTTTCAATTCTTCCTTTATTCTATCATGCATTTATTTGGCTTCCCTTTTTAGCACATTTTAATGGGGTTGGTTCCCTCTCTTTTTTCTCCAATTTATTATTTTGATAAACAATTACTTTCATTAAAAGAGTAATAAAAAAAAGTCATTATAATCATCCCCATTTAGCAGTAAAAACCTGAGAATGTCAATTGCTTCCTACTTGCTAAAATGTTACTAAATCATCAGATATAAAATGGGCCTATCTTGTTATGTATAACATAAACAACATAGGCTGTAGGAATATATAAAAAAATATATATATCAAGAAAGGTGTTCATGAAAATTCCTTACATATCCATCTAACCACATCAAGGAAACTATCTTCAAAAAGAGCTTAAGAGACGTAATCCTGTACAGCTAACTCTGGGTATGCTGTATGTTGAGTGTTTGACCCCCAGATATTCCATTAACATCTTATTAGTTCACCATCCTTATCGTGGATTGTGCTCAGGAAACCAATAACTTGGATTTCTTATTACAATCAATCTTAAGCTTTTAAACACCCAATATGAGGAAATCTTAAAGCCAATTTACTGATAGAAACCCCTAATTGCATTGATATAGGAAGACCCCCACCAAATACCCATGAGCAAAATGCTACAATGATTTTCGCTCATGGGCTAAGAGGCTATCAATTTTGGGATTGTGAGATAGTATTTGAAATATTTTTTTGGGGTAAATCAGATCAACTTTAATTTTGGGGCATGAGTGAATCTCACTACCACGCAGCCCAATAAAAATATAAAAAAGTATTTCACATAAAACAGAATGACCAAATCACCCTTTGCAATTTACAGCCATATTTTTGGTCATTTTAGTTTATGCAAAATATTGTTTTATATTGTTAATGGGTGCGTGAGGCTCACCTCCCCTCCAATTTCAGCTTAAACATTTTTGTAGAAAAAAATCAAAATCCAAAATACACTCCTAGTTGTCCAATCAAAATCGTACGGTCAATATCCCTTAGACCCATGAGCGAAACCACTATAGCATTTTTCTCCTGGGCGTTTGGCGAAATACGCACCTCCAAATCTTCAACTTAGACGATCCCCAACTTTTGACAAATTATATTACAGTAACATTGAACATGCAAGCGAACTTTTCTACTTTTTCATCTTCTTTTTTCTTTTTTTCTTTTTTTTTAATAAATGTATGTTAGGGCCACATCTGGGAACTGCAACTGTATCGTTTAGAAGAATTTACAAAATGGATCTCCAACAAACAGAAGTAAATAGTTCCCTTAAGGGGGCAACTAGAAGCATTTACAATTGAGAAGAACATAACAAATAGTGCCTGTGATTAGTTTCAATGAAAGAAACCAAGGAACAATAATTAAAATTCCCAAAATAAATGTACAGTTTCCTGCTACAATCAATGATAGTGAGAACAATAGGAATCAAACCGTTGCAAGCTCTCTGGCATGTAGAGGCCTACAAGACCGAACAGTCACTGGTTCCTCATATTCGCTGAAAGTAAACCAGCTGTTATACTGCAGGCGAGAAAGCAAAAACAAGGGGGAAGATGAATCTTGAGTATAAGATATAATTTTTTTAATGTAAACCTGTTTGTGGTTAGAGAGAGAGAGAAAGAGATCTAATTTGGCAAGTTTAACATGGGCTTTGACTCCAAATTGAATTTCTCTCTATAAACTCCACATCGGACCGCCTCTCTCTCACTCTATATATGTCTGAGTGTGCATGCGCACACGTGTGTGGGGGTTTAAAAATTAAGGAAAATATCTGTTTAGACCCTATTTTTAAGTTTCATTTCTTCATAGACCCAAGTTTCCAAAACCTATCTTGAGGCATAGAGATTCTATCTATTATATCTTCTAACCCCATAGACCAACTATGCACATTTTTTACCCATCTTTTTAGCCCATACAAATTTAAAAAAGACATCCTTTCTAAACCTCCTCTCTCTTTATGTGTTTCTCTTTTCTCTCTCCTCATGAATCTCCCAAACCCCTCTCTATAAAAATTTGGGATAGATTGGGATACACACGGAGAAAGAGGGAGAGTAGAGGAAATAGGAGAGAGAGAGAGAGAGAGGGGGTTGGGAGATTTACAGAGAGAGAGAAACACTTAAGAGGGAGGGGAAATTTGTTTGGACTAAAAAGATGGGTAAAAATGGGTTTAATACAGGGTTTACAAAGAATGTCTTTTTAAATTTTGTTTGGGCTAAAAAGATGGGGTAAAAATAGATAAAGTTGGCCTAGTGGATTAGAAGATATAATAGATAGAATCTTTATGCCACTAGCTTTTGAAACTTTGGGTCTATGGAGAAATGAAACCTAAAAATAAGGCCTACGAAGATATTTTCCGTAAAAATTATACTGAAGTATTGAAAGATTACCAACACAAGAAATAAGACAAACATTTCATGATGATGAATTAGCATTGAGCAATAGATGAGTGGTGCATTTTGTTACCTGATCAATTGCAAAAAGAATAGGTATATCTTTGACAAGTGATAACTCCTCCCGCAAACGAACCACGACTCCAACCGCAGCTTGTGAGTATCTAAGCCCTGTTTGAACGAGATCATACAAGGTTGAACCTTCAGGCATTGCCATGGAATCAGCCCCCTTCATCATTCCAACACCAGCACCCTCCCCTATCGGAATTGGATCAGAATATTGGCAAGGTAACTTTTGTGACTGAGCTTCATTACTTTTCAGGAAATCCTGACGGAAATAGAAAATATCAGTAGCTTTCCAGAAAATTACACATGCACAAATACAGACACACCCACACGGTTTTTTTTTTTGAGGGGTGGGGGAGGGGTGTATTTTCTGTCCATGCAGAAATAAACAACCGATTTCTATTTTTCATCAGAGAGTAATATTTTCTGTCCAGACTGAAATAAACAGCCGATTCTATTTTTCATCACAAATATCTCTTAGGTTCAACTCCAAAGACAAAACAGATCTCAACACGTCACAACACATCAAGTTTGCTAAATCAAGTGAAGGGTAGATCAGACAATCCTTGAAGGAAAAAACTGACAGAAATAATACAGTACACAGGAAATACACATGCACACACAGACACTGGAGAGATGAAGAACAATCGAACGATTCTTTTATCACATTCCACACAACCACATTCTTTATTACTAACTATCATGTGATCACTTGTATCAGATGATTAAGTAGATGTCCAACAACTCTCTTTTGTAACCAGGCACTTTTAGCATATCATCACCATTCATTAATGCCTCAAGTTCGCATGGCCCAACTTTGTGGAGTCAACTTGGTTTGAGACAAGCAAGACCAACTTATTGCATTGTCTAAAACAACTGACTCGTCTCGGAAATCGCCATATACCAATTATTTAGATTTTTATAGAAAATAATGGAACATCGCAAGAAAAAGCGAAGACGAAAGTCTCTCATAGGAACATTACAGCAATTATATTTACTTTTTCATAGGAAACGTTTTACTTTTACTATTTTTTTATCTCAAAATTCTGATGCAGAAAATTATTTCTCGACCAAGATATCTCCTCACAGTCTAAAATACAAGAGAGTTACAAAGTTGAAATCAATGGGAATGCATGATGCACATAAAGAGACAAACCAAGTTAAGGATGCATTAAAGATGCCTCTTTTTTCTAAACAGATGCTGCAAGTTATGTCAACAATCACATAGTAGCCAGAATCTTCTCCACAAATTGGTACATATTAGTTCCAGAGCAAAAGATGACCAGCATCTGAAGGCTCAAGAGTACTAGAAACCAGCACGATGTCTATATAGGAATTGTACGTAGAAATTCAGTACATACACCCACCTCATATTTGAGTTGATGATTAAGAGCAATATGGCTATCGGACCCCCAAACCTAAAACAAACCTATAAGGGGAGTAAAACCTGAAAGAAGAAAATAATATAACTTAAGGAATGGAAAATGTAGCATGTTTTCTCATAAGACTTAATCAGACACTTGCCTGAGCAGCTGCCCATGGGAGTCAGTCCAGTTGGCCATCGATCATTGTATTTGTCAGGTTTTGGCCAAGTTTATGAATGGCTCACGCTTAGGAGGTTTAACTCATCAATGAAACCAGTAATTTCGAAATGGGCATGTAAGCAAGCGGAGTCAAATGTTTGAAACTGTGTTTTGTATCCACAATAATTGCACAGAATGCAAATGTTATTCAAAAAAAAAAAGCACCCTCAAACAAATCTCACATCAAAGTAGCAAGAAACAGAAACTAAGCATTCGATTATGCATAAAATAGATAACATTTCTTTCCTTTTTCATGTAACTTAAATAATATATTTTAAGCCTAAATTAAACGCATAGAGGAACTTCCACAATCTCAAACCACAAAAGAAAAAATTAATACCTGGAGGATTTTGGTGGCCTGAATAGGTGTATCCCATAAATCAGTTTGTGGATTTTTGTAAAAGAAACCCCCATGAGTCCACTTCCTACCATTTGGAACATAAAAAACAAGCCAACCTTCAGAACGTGCCCAATGTACAAGCATGGAGAGTGCAATACTTTTCCCACAGCTAACAGGACCATCCAACACAATCTGCTTTCGAACTTTTGGAGCTGGAGATAGTAAGAAGTAGTATCAAGGAAACAGCTCCATAAAAGGAACCATCAGGACATCTACTGTAATCATATTATTCAGCAACAAATGGGTCATCTTTATGCACCTTCTGAATAACAGAAACAACGGAAGACCTCATGTCTAGTGTTTAGTGGAAATTTTATGTACAGTCACTTCAGATAGTCTTGGATACCAAAACTTTAAATCAGCCCCAAAAGGCAGAATGATGCGAAAGAAATATCACTCCTTATTCAAAAAGAAGAATGCAACAAAAACTGAGGATAAAAGGGGAATTGGGAAACTGAGAAAAAAATAACCCTAGATGCAAATGAGGCCCCCAGCATAACAAAAGAAGAAAATAAAGCAGCAAAGCACAATTTATTGGAAGTAGATTTGTCGCAGCTACTGAGATAAGTATCCACAATGAAGCAGAATGCCATTTTTTCCCAAAACAAAAAAGAAGCAGAATGGTGCAATGCACTTCGTATTTCTTATATTAAATAGAAGAGTAAGTCTCCTAATACAAAGTATGAGCATAGCTATAGCCTTATAGGCAACCAGCTTAATGAAAACAAACAGAACTGACACTAAATCAGATTTGGCACTTGCCATTCCATAATAGGAAGAAAAACACAAAAAAAATGCTCCTTTTCTTTTTTTGAAATGTGCACAAAAAAATACTTCTTTCTCAGTCGTTCATTTTTTTTTTTTTTAATTTCCTGAAACATCAAAGAACCATATTCTAATAGGCAAAAAGAGTAAGTGCTAAGATCATACAAGCCATCCACAGAGGATTTCTACAACTGCTCTTTCCTTCTTACATGCAAAATGGTAAAAAGAAAGGACAAAAAAAGAAAAAAACCAAACACTAGACTTTGAAGCTCCGAGTAGGTAAGAAAGGGGTACTCAAATAGAATAAATCATGGATAGCATGAAGAACTCAGACAAGATCGAGGACAGATTCCATATTCCAGAAATATGTGTGGCCTTTTGTTTGTTAGCCTACGACCATTAATGGTCCGTATGGGTTTTCCATCAGGATTCAACTAGCATGAAGATGCAGATGGCAGTAGAACTTTAACATACTGCCAGTTCATATGTTCCTGAAGCTATGATGTAAGCAAGACAAACATCATAAATCTTGCAATATTAAAAACAGTCTGCACTGATTTTTCTACTTAGGTAATAACAGGCACCCAAGTTTTTTATATAAATAAAAAAGGGTGGCTATCAATAGATGTGTTATTATCCATTGCCTAAACTTGATTTCCTATCCATAATAAGCAGATCCTCAAACTACATAGGCCACATCAGATAAAACATTTATAGACGCACCTTTGCTGTTGACCTGTAATGGTGGTTCAACTACACGCCTAAAGTTATCGCGAAGTTCCAAGAAGCTCTGTCTAACAAGTAAATAGTTACCCTTTGTCTCCTCAAATTCCTTTGTCATACCAGCTGGTAGTCCCTCTGGCAAACTTGCATTCAATTCCTCCAAACTAATAAATCAACCCAACCAGGATCCTCAGTAAAAGTGGCAGGAAATATAACCTATAGAGTCGTCAATTTAATGAGAAGGTCGGATAAAATAATCACTAGAATAAACATTAGGGATACCAAACAACCAATCGAAAACCTCCTCATAATTAAAGCAAAGAAAGTCATGTTTTGGGTGATTCAGAATTCCCCCAGAGTACAAACTAATAACATCCTACATTAAAAATGACTCACCAATTGAAAAAATTAAGTGACGACTCAAATATACCAAACAACCTGAATCAAAAACCTCCTCATAATTAAAGCAAAGAAAGTCATGTTTTGGGTGATTCAGAATTCCCCCAGAGTACAAACTAAGAACATCCTACATTAACAATGACTCACCAATTGAAAAAATTAAGTGACGACTCAAAGTCCAAGAATTGGAATTTCAAATTTAGTTGAAATGTCAACCCAACCAACTTTCTAAGGAAATACATAAAATTAAAAGAAAATTGGATTCCCTGAAACTAAAGAGGGTAAATCAAACTTCATGAATTAACAACCAAACCAAACATTCGCAGAAATAACAAAAAATAGAGAGAGAAAACTCAAATTTTGAAATGAATGACAACTTTCTATTGAGGCACAAAAAAATCATAAACTTTCAATTAGTTAAGGACCCAAAAAAATAAGAAATCAAAACAATGGGGAGGAGTGATTCGAAGTTCACCTAAATAACCCAGCTAAATTTTACATTTCAAAACGGAAAAAAAGAAGCTAAATTCCTTGTTTAAAAACAGAAAAAAAAATCCAATAGAGAGGAAACACACAAATGCACCTAAAGGAAGTCCTGTTCAATCAAAAGGAACAAAAATACATTCAAATGCAAATGAAGTTTTTATTTTTATTTTTTATGGGTCAACGTGCATGAAATTTCCATTATAACATTATACTGAAGTAGAATCCAAGCAATAAAACAACCATAAAAGAAAAATAAAAACCTCAATAGTTTCAGATAGGTAATCCGAACTTCACCTGAAATTCATATAGGTGTTAACATCCTTGCGCCCGAGAACACCAATGGACTCTGCCTGAGTAAACAATGACTTCCCATTAGGTAAGAAGTCCAGAGATTTATCGTGGCCAATTGGTTCTCTGATGTGATCATCGAAATCAAGATTGAATTCTTCGGCTACTGGTCCATCATCTGCCTTCACAGATGGCTGGCCCTTTAAATTACCCTTTCGTTTGGCCTTGGGGGCCTTAGGCCCAGAGGATTTGGAGGAGGAAGAAGAGGCTAGGGTTCTTGATGCTGTGGAAATTAGGGTTTGTCTTTTTGTTACAGAGTTAAAGAGGATGGAAGCTAGGGCTCTTGTGTGGAGCATTTTGGGACAGGAGAAAGAACGAGGGGCTCAGGGTTATATGCACTGGGTCTGGTGGAGAGGGGCAATTTAGTCTTTTTTTTTATTCATAGTGAGTACGGGGTGGTTTGGTCCTTTTTTTGCTGTTGATGAAAGGGGTGTTTTGGTCTTTTATCTATGGCTACATGGAGCGAAGAGTGGGACTGGAAACTCAATCGGACCGGTCGAGTGGATCCGGTTCTATAAACGAAAAAACATTGAGATTACATTATGGAAAATTGTTTCATCTCGGCTGGACTGGATTTCTAAGAGCTACTCCGGTCATAAGATTGCTCACCTCCCCACTTGTCCGTCGTGAAGATGGGCCCTCGATGATGTAACCAAAACAACTGGAGAACCGAGCAACGATAATGTAATCCAGTATATCGTTCGTTCAAACCTGGTGCGTGATGAGGTAGGGGAAGAAAGGACGGAGTCATAATGTCGGGACAGGAAAAGAAAGCAGCATGACGTTCTCTACTCGAACTCGAGATGTTAGAAGATATGCTATCAATAGGTGTCGGAGGTGCTGCAATTGCTTCAGCAGGAGCTGCTGTTTCTACATACGCAGTCTTGAAAGTATAAAGCATCCATCTTAAAGATGGATGCAAGTAGGGGTTCTATCTAAAAACAATGGAAGCTAACGGTCAAAATGTTTTTTTACTATAATTATTATATCTAATTTTTTTAATGTATTTATTTTTTCGGATTCATGATCTCCATGTTAGAGATTACATATCCTTAAAAATTAAGTCTTAAAATCCATCTCAAAAGTAGATTTATTAAAAGGACTACATTTCTACATATGTGGGCTTAGCCGCATAGAAACCGGGTCCTTATATTATATGGCTCTCCATGATTCGATGTCCTCTATATCACGTTCTGGTACAAGCTTGACCACGGTTTGGATGGGCATAACTTTCTTGCCATCAAAACGGTCAAGTACATGTGCATTGAAGCGGACAGATAGCAAAGGAAGAAGTCTTACATACAATTGAACTAAGCATGTAATAAACATGTATGAACATAAACGATTCAAGCAAATTAAAACTCGAAGTTCATTAAAAGTATAGGCACCTGCTCATTGTAGATGAACCTTCATCATGAGGTTGTGCCGGTGGAAATTCCATTCAACATAGCTCAAACTCTAGCTCATATCCAATGTCTAGAACAAGGTTAGAGGACTCTTCTTCAATATATAAGATACATCTAGAACATCACATATTTCTATCAATTCACGTGCATTAGCTAAACTTGTATTGTGATACATAATAGTCAACTTTATCGGATTTTATTGGATCATATAATGTCAAAGTTCCCAAAAAATGAGTTTTCAATTACTCCATGGAATTACTTCCATGGCATTAAGTCACCTTCAATTTCCCCCCTTGTATAGAACAAGTATGTCATTAGAGTTATTCTCAAAAGAACCTCCAAAACGGAATACCAATCATACTCCCTCAATACTCTGAGGTTAGCCCGCTAGTTGATAGTTACAGTAAACGTTCAATGGCCCAGATTCAATTTGGGTCAATCCGATGGTCATGATTGTTTTTCATATTTGGATTTTAATTTTTTTTCTACAAATCTAAATCACTTAACATTTAAAGAAGCTATTCTTATAAAATAATTAAAATATCAACAAAATATTTTATATAAATTAATAGACCAAAATACCCCTACAAATTTAGGGGTATTGTGGTAAAAATTTTAAATAATTTTTAAATATTCCATGTAGGTGCATCTTGATGAGAAGAATGGACACCTCATATTTCATGTGATTTATATTCGTAGAAAAAAAATATAATTAAAATTAAAATATAAAATATAAAATACATTTGTGAATGTTAGATTGTCCTAGATTCAGATTATCCTAGATTCAATTTGGGCAATTGAGCCTACATTATTCTATCAGTTCATGGGCTGACAAGATCTTTTCCCTTACAAGGATAGTATATAGTTACAGGGTAACAATGAAACAATTGATTAACAAAAAAAAGGGAACTATGTAATACCTAATTAGACCTTCGGCCAAGATTACGATTCAAGTGTCATTTACGATAAGTACAAAAATTCCTTATATTTTCTTAATTATAAAGATCTCTACAAATTATTGGGCCAACTCAACCTTGCCGGTAGGGCAATATCGATTAGCACTATGCACTAACAAACCAATCCATCAATATAATAAGTCAATTGATTAGTTCAAACTCAAGATGCACTTATGAATAAAAATTCGAAAAATTTCATACATTGGTTCAAATAATTTCAATCAATAAATATTTATAAAAATAATGATTGATGAAGGCATAGATCACAAACCTTGATTATTTATCTAAAACAAACCCTAAATAGTCATTGTGCTTCTGAGAGGGAAACAAAGTAGGTCAGTTGCTCGCGTGAGAGGGTTTGTTTCTTAAAAGTATAACACCTTGCACAAAGCAACTATTTCAGCACGATTAGTGGACACACATCGACAAGGACTAGCAAAACAAAAAATAATACTGCCCCAATTATAACGACAAACACCACCTATTCCTATCAATCCTGGATTACCCAAAGATGATTCATCGAAGTTATGTAACATATCATCTGGGGCTCCCATCTTTATTTCGGCCTAATCTTGACAAAATTAAAAGTCATTAGGCTAGCTAAATTCAAATCAACATCCACCTTGGACACCCCCCTCCCTTTCCTTAGTGATACTAAACCAGCTCCAAACTAAGTATAAAATTACTCTTATTGTGAGATTCGTCCTCCGCAATATTTGTGTTTAATCGAAATTCCAAGGTACCAACTTTCCCATCACGAAGTCCTTTTTTTTTGTTAATGTGAAGATTAGAGCATGGAAGTGAAGTTGAATCAAGTAGGTTTTATTTCTGTCACTAAATCTACCATTCTTCAATGCAAAAAACTAAGTTTATACATTCTAATTCTCTAATCTCATGCTTCAAACTAATAGCATAGTTGTTTTATACCAAATGTACAAATTGTACTGTTTAAGAAAGACACACTTGGGTAAATGATATTATGGATTAACTACTAAAACACCTGTTATTCATATTTTTCATGTTTTGTTTGTGATGTTGTTTGTCGTTCTTTTGCACTAACAACTCTTTTGAAGTTTGACGCTATCGAACCAAATCGATATTGCTTTCACCAAGTCCTGGCCATGAAACTGCTTGAGTTTCACCAAGTATTGATTCTCAGTGTTTGTTTGTGCTCCTGGAGATAGGGAGCTCAATTGTTTCACCCTGAATGTTTATCTTGAAATGTTAAATTTGATGGGTGAAACGAGGGCGAAAATCAGAACAACGGAATATCATAGAAGCATTTTGCAGTTCTATTTAAATAAGTGAAGCCTCGCCTCATAACTCATAAAAAATTACAATTCAAGAATTAGAAAACTTTTATATTCATCATCTCGGGTTGAACATTATGGTTGTAAAAACAATTAGGATTTTAATCTCTAAAAATAATGCATATTGTAACAAATTATCTAGACAGTCCATTTCATCCTAAAAATAAGTGTTCAAATATCTGTAAGGTCTGTATCATTATTTGAGTTTCAAGCTTTGTTGTTGGTGTTGGAAACTAATTTTAAGAGCTATCATGGAAATTTACGTTGCTAAAAGGGCTTTCCGGACGAGGATTTGAGGTGATTCACGCTCATATTCCCTCTAAAGTAAAGTTATTAAAAATAATCTCTCAAAATTATTCTTTTACGTTATTATTTTTTATTTTTTTCAAAATGTCCCTATATTGGACCTTCATAGTCTTAATTGACAACGATTCCAAAACAAAGTTTTGAGAACATTTTTTTTAACTATAATTTTGGACTTTCATGATTTGAAGTCCATCTTTTTATTGTGTCCTTTCTTACTTTTATGGTAAGAAGTCAGGGTTTAATTATGACTTTGGACGCGAAGTCGTATCGAAATGATTTTGGATCTTCAAGGTAAGAAGTCATTTCCATCTAAGTCTTGATTTTGGATTTCAAAATCTAGAATCAGCTCTCTCTCTCTCTCTCTCTCTCTCTCTCTAAAGTGGCTTCTAATTTTGAATATCCAACTCATCAATTTGAGTCTCAAGATCCGAAATTAAGAATTGTTTTCTTACTTTGGATATGGAAAGTTCAAAGCGAGGGCAAATTGAGAGAAAAATAAAGAAGGGCAAAAAGAGTATGAATGTAAAAAAACACAAATTCATGAGGGCTTTAACAATGGGAAAGCTTTTTATGTTTCCCCTACCACATAAAACTTATATATTTCCCCTTATCCAACCATCCATTCTAAATGGAAGGCTAAGATTGCTCCAATCATAATGTCACATCTCTACAATATTTTATTTTAAAATTTTTTATATAAACTATTTTGACACCAAATTTTGGATGTCCAATCTTATCTTCTATTAAACTCGCACTAACGAAAAATATAAAAAAAAATATTTTCAATATAATAAAATGACCAAATTACTCCTGAAAAATTCAACGTCATTATATTTTATTGAAAAATTATTTTTAATACTTTTTATAGGTGCGCCCCAATGAGAGGATGGCACATACCAAATTTCATAGTCATACAATTTGTATAAAAAAAATACTAAAAATAAATACTTTGAGACGTCGGATCTAAGATCAAACAGTGAGTAGCTATCTTGATCAAAATTAGACGACTGGATGGTAAGGGAAGCATAAATCTTCTATGCTGTAAAAGAAGTATATAAACCTTTCCTTTAATAGTCTTTTATAATGAATAGAAAGACAATGGCAACTTTGTAACATGGGCATTCTCTTTGTAATATGAACCGATTATATATCGGGTGCGGTTTCTATCAGGTTGCAACCTTAAACAATCCAATTAATGTGCGGTTTCTATAAGGTTGCAAGCTTAAACAACTTTCAAAATTTAGCGTACCATATAATTTTGTGTAAAAAATTCTTAGGATTATCTCAAAATTTATTTTCATATCTAGTTATAAAATTTTAAACTAAACAAATAGTTAAAATCAAGTAGATTTATAAACATGAAAATCTTGAAAATGGACGGTCTAGATAATGTGTTTCAAGATGTATTATTTATG